CGATCGGTGGCCCTGCGTCCCGAGGTGGACGTGGGAGGGCCGAGGACGTGGAGGGCCGAGGAGGTGGACGACGAAGGGGTGGTGGAGGGGCAGGAGGGAGGGGGTGTGGGGAGGAGCGGGTAGCTGAGACAGAGTGGGTGCAGGGGAGGGAGCAGTAGGGAGGTGTGTGGGCAGGGGGAGGGGTGCGGGGCACTTGGGGAAGTGTGGAGGGCACACATGCGCATGGGAAGGTGAGATGGGAGGGCTCACAATCTGGTCCCCTTGTGACTCAAGCTTTTTAAAACAGGAATCAGACCACTTCGCCTCTCTCCCCCTTTCCCAGCTTGGAATAAAATCCTCACCTATCACTGAGGCGTGTCCCCTGGGCACCACACAGCGGGCCTGGAGTGGTGGGCCCTTCGCCCCGTGTCCACATTTCTCCTCTTGGTTTCCTTGAACACTCCAAGCTTTGTGCATGTGCTGCTCCTTCTGCTTCCTCTCTTGCCCTTTGACCTGGCCTGCTCCTGCTTACCTTTGGTCCCAAGGTTGCTCTCTGCAGGGAAAAGTGATGGGCTTTTTACCTGTTCAACCTTCCCTCTGTCTCTACCCCGTGGTCTTGTAGGGGCCACCTCTTTCGTACTCAGTCCAGGAGGTTCCCCCTGCTCCCCAGGCCTGTGCCCCAGACCCTGCCAATCAATGAATTCCAAATCTGGCAGCCATGTGACAGGCTCAGGGAAAGGCATGTAACCCAAAGCAGGCCAATAAAGTACCATTCTGGGATAGACTGGCCCAGAAAGAGAAACTCCATTTTCTGTTGATGGGACACTGGTACCGTGCTGTCCTAGAGCTGTGGCCCTCTCCTCACCTCTCATCCCTGTGGAGTAGAGGATGCTCCTGAGAGTGAGGCAAATACAGCAGAAAGCACAGAAAGAGAAAGAGCACCCCTAAGCTCCTGGATCCAGCTATGCCTGAAGTTAGTCTATCTCTGGAGTTTGTAATTACCATTCCTCTTTTGGCAAAGTCAGCTAGTGAGTGGACTTGTCTTGCCTAATACTGCCCAGTCCACCATGTCAAGGTCCAGACTGCCTACTCCTTCAACTCTCTCATAGAACCCTGGCCTGCATGACCGATATACAATTATATTATTATCTGTGAGTAATTAATGTGCAGTCACATGATTATGTATGACCTGGTCTAAGGTCTCCCTCAGTCTGAGCACCCCCAGAAGGCAGAGTAGGATCTGGATGGTGCATAGATGTGGCCGCAGCACAGCACCTGGGACATGGTGCGAGGTCAGCATGTTAGAGCTTTGCAGTAACAGGGTCAGGGACGTGGGACAGGGTCAGCCCAGCAAGGAAGAGGGAACAGGTACAGTGGCTAGGAGTTTGGGCTCTGGAGTCAGAGAGGGCCTGGTTCAAATCCCAAATTGAGGTGATCTTGGGTAAGGTGTCTGCCCTGCCTAAGCCCCAGCCAGGGACAGAGCTGGCCCCACCTCACAGGGTTGTGGTGAGGGTGAAATAAGAGAAAAGACACCAGGCACCTAGCACACAGTACGTGCTCACAGCAGGTGCCCACTGCTGTGGGTGACAGTGTAATTATCCAGAGGCACTCTAGTCAGGAGGCCAGATGTTTCAGGGTGTCTCCCCAAGGTCAGGGTACCAGTGCAGAAGACGCAGTTGCCATGGAGGTGGTAAAGTCTCTTTATTCAGTCCTGGAGTGGAGCTGGCCCCACAGGGCAAAGGCAGAGGTTGATCAGGGCCAGACCTTCAGCCCTTGGGCAGCTCAGGGCCAGCCAGGCGAGGCTGGTAGGTGCCAGGTGCCAGCAGCTGCAGGGCTAATTCGGTGATGACGGCTGTGAGCCCCCAAATACGGTGTGGCCCATGCAGGAAGACGGGCAGTGTGTAGCGGAAGTGGCCACCATGGCAGAAGTGGGTATAGCCCTGGTTCTGCGCCTGCAGCAGGTGGGCCAGGGGCAGTGCAAACACTTCATCCACCTGTGGGCAGGAGGCAGTGAGAAGGTAGACAGAGCACTGGCTACTGCAGCTCCCCACCCAGCATTCCGCTACTCACCTCCTCAGGGTTGGGCCTGAGGCTCTGGAGATCCAGCGGGCCCACGCCAGCAAGCACTGGCACCACAGAGGCCTTTGGCTGAGGCAGGAGGAGGGCAGGCAGTCAGGGGAGGCGTGGCCTCAGTGGGGCTTTGGGGCTGGGAAGGGGACCTGAAAGGAAGGCTTTAGAGGCCTTCAGTGCAGGCCAGGTCCACCTGGCCCCTGCCCTTGGGCTTGCTCAGCCATGCTGACTGACTCAGTTTCCCAAAATCCACTAGATGCATTCAGGCCTCTGGGCCTTTGCAGACTGGTCCCTCTACTCAGGACAACCTTCCCTTACTTTCATTACCCTAAAATCTCCCAATTGTCATTCAGTCCCTGCCTACCCTTCAAAGCATTCCCTAACTTTTTATCCACCAAGCTGAGCAGAGCTGGCTCACCTGCGGGCATGTGGGGGTGGGCTACCTCCAACCCAGGACCTGAGCCTCAGTAGGCCCTGTGAAAGGGGATAAAATACCCCGACCCCTTCCCGATGAGTTGTGTGAGGACGGAACACAACTGCCAGGCAGGTGTCTGGGGCTCCACCGCACTGCGAGACTGCTGGAGCCCATGACCACTCTCCTTGTCCCCAGGGTCCCTGCTTCTAGCCTAGGGCAAGCACAGTCGGTGCATGGGGTAAGGGCTGGTGGTGGCCTCAGGGCCTGGTGGGCTTACCTGGTCCTGCAAGGGCCGCAGGACACCCCACACATGCTCCTCAGGCACCACAAGGCCCAGCTCCTCACGAGTCTCCCTCAGGGCTGTCTGAACCACATCCCGGTCAGTGGGATCACACTTGCCACCTGGGAAACTGAACAGGCACAGGGAGCCTGGTTCTGGTTCTTGGGCTGTTGAGGCCATGGAGGGGTGGTGGTGGCAGCTGTGGCAGAGGGCTAATGACCCACCTAAATAACGTCTGTCTCTGCCCCTAGTTTGCAGAGAGGGCTGGGCAAGCCACATGACCTCGCCAAGCTCAGTTTACCTCCCTGAGCAACGAGGGTAAGGGAGACGGGCCCTGGGGCTCAGACACACAAACTCTGCTTATGGTGGCCTTGGTGGAGCTGGCATTAACACTATGATGTCCCCAGTTGCCGCCGGGGGAGGGGCCAGAGCGGGACACGCAGCATCCCAGCTCCGAGTGCTTCCTGGGCTCTGGACCCGAATCTCTCGAGTCACCATAAGAGGGCGCGGTCCTGCCTTTTTAGAAGTGGGACACAGATCTGAGAGGTGTCCCCGTCAGAAGTGGCGCGGGACGCACATCGAAGGATCCGCGCAGCGCCCGGGCAGGAGCTCCTGCGGCACCAGGTTCGGGGCGGAGGGACGCGGGTCGCTGACTCCTGGCCGCAGTCCGCGGACGGAGGGGCTCTCCCCGGACCCAGTCTACCGAGGCGGCCATGGAGGCTCAGAGAGGCTTGGTGCCTTGCCCACGACCCTGCAGTCGCCGGGGTTCAAAGGGCTCCTCCAAAAGGGAGAGGATTTCCTGGCCGGTGTACCTGACGTCACCCTTGTGCCTCCCGGCCAGACGGCTGGACCGCAGCGTGTAGAGCAACGCCGGAACCCCGCGCACCGAGCACAGCGGCACGAGTACGGCGGCCGCCGCGGGCCGAGCGCGGAGCCGGGCCGTGGCCCCCGCCAGCAGCCGTCGGCAGCGCCGCTCGCCCTCCGCCGACAGGCAGTCGGGCAGCATGTCCGGCCCAGCACGGCCAGGACAACGAGGGAACCGGGCCGCGCGAAAGAAGGGGCAGTGCGCACACTCCCAGGTCTCCCCGGGACCTGGGCGGGGGCCGCGGGAGGAGTCGCCCCGCCCCGTGGTGGCTTCCCAGCGGCGCCGGCCACGCCCACAGACCCCGACCTAGTAAAGGGGGCGGGCCCGGCAGGAGCGAGTGATGGGGCGGGGCCGGAAGAGGCCTGAGCTTCGGGCAGAGGGGCTGGCCTAGGTGGTTCGAAGTGTGTCACCGAGCACCTAGAGCAGCTGGGGTCGTGCATGGCCCGGCAACCCGGCCCTGCCGTCCGCGGGGTTCGGGAGTCGGGGTGTCTGGTCGTTGAGGCCCCGCCGGGCCCCGTGTTCCTTCTCGCCCGAGGTATACGGGACCTCAAAGGAAGTGCGTCAGATGTTCGGAGTCGGCGTTTAGTGGGGGGTCTACGAGACCCCACCAGGTGGCCGAGCCGCCCTGGGAGTCCCTTGCCCTCCCCACGCTCCAGGCATTCTCCCTTGGTTCCTCTGGGTGGTGCGCGCCGCTCCCTCTCGCCCCAAGGGACTCACTTAAGCCCCAGGCCTTCGCCTTGCTTTTCCCACCTCCAGGAGCTCATTTTTTTTCCGCCTCTGCAGTTTCTACTCCCATAGGTGTTGGTTCAAATGTCGCTTTCTCTAGAAGCTCTCCTGCCTTGAGTCTTGATCGGATTCTCAGACTACCCCCCCCCACCTCCACCTTGACCCTTGGAGTCACTGCCTATGGTGCTCTGCACCTCTTTGTCTTACTCTGATCCCTCCAAGCACCAGGCGACCCTCGCTTTGGGCATAACATCTAAACATGGAATGGCAGGTGTCCCATGCTTTGCTTCCACTTTGAGCAGGTGCCTCCCTGAGCTGTAGTGGTGGTCCTCATCGGGGCACACAGGCAGAGAGCAGGAACACAGCCTCCCTCACAGCCCTGCCACTCAGCTTGTATCCCCACATTGACTATCACTCTGTGCTCCCAGGGATCCCAACAGCACTGGGCATAGCTTTGAGATAGCTGCATGCCACACTCGGGTGTGGGCATTCCTGAGTCCCTCCACCTTGACCTCTGAGGACAGAAGTGCTCTGACCACTCATGCCAAATGATTTAATGTTGGGGGGAAAAGAGAGGTAAAGCAGGGCTTGGAAGAGTCACCCCCAAGGCAGAAGGGGGCAGGTTGTGAGGTAGGGGGCCTAGTTCCAAGCCTGGCACCAGCTCAGCCTTGTTGTGACTTTGGGCAGGTAGCTTCCCTCTCTGGGTTTCCACCTGCCCTGCTCTCTCCATGTGAGGGGAAGGGGGTCTCTGCAGAGGTGAGTCTGGGGTCCAGGGTAAGAGGACTCTGTTCACAGGGCCCCCACCATTACTGTGGGTCCTGGCCAGCCCCTGGGCACACAGCGGTGGAGGGGAGGAGCCCCAGCCCAGCTGGGAGGGGCACCCCCTGACCCCTGTCATCCTGAATATTGGGGATGGGGTATGGTGTTGGCCGGGCCCTTGGGATTCGGAGGCGGCTTGAGGCTCCAGGGTACAGGCCCTGGTAGGTGAGGGGCCGGTAGATGGCTGGGGCCAGGAGAGCCTCAGGGGGAGCCAGCAGCTGATGGTGGAGCCTGGCAGGGGTCCTGGAGGTGAAGGCTGGAGCTTTGTTGGGGTCTGAGGGAGGAAATGGTCTGAGTGGACCCCAGACCTCCTCTCACACCCTCAGCCTGCCTGTCCCCTTTCCTGCTCCTCCCATCCCAAGTTGCCCACTTCTTAGTCTTTGCTCTTTCTCTTCTATCTGCCAGAAATTTCTTCCCCACCTTCTCCCTCTGTCCAAACCCTTCCCAGTCCTCCAAGCCCCAGCTTGGGAACCACCTCCTCCAGGAAGCCTACGTGACCCTCCTTCTCTCTGCTCTCAGCACCTTATCCCTGCCCTGGTCTTTCTGCTCTGGGTCCCACATTGTCTCCAAAATCTCTGCCTCCCTGTCTCTGTTCACACAGATGCCCAGTGAGCTTGCTGAACATGCTGAAACCCCTTCCTGGAGGCCTGGTGGCCCTGTCCCCTCACTTCCTGCCCACAGTGCAGGCTCTCATCCCACTGTGCCTGTGGCCTGGTGGCTGACCTTTCTCCTGCTCTGGGGAGCCCTTCAGCAGGCAAGGGCTGAGGCTGCTGCGACTCTGGGTTGGGACGCTGAGCAGGGGCCTTGGAGATACAGTCCTGAAGGTATGGCAAGCGGGAATGGGGGCAGGGGTCAAGGTGGAGAACCTAGGCCAAGGGTCATGGTCAGAGTCAGACAGTGGGATCCCAGGACAAGCCAGTGGATGAGACCCTGAAAGAGGGTCAGGAGCCAAAGCCTTAAGAGATGCCTGGGGTGAGGGGATGGGTTAGGGCAGGTGGGCAGGGTTGGCCAGGGCCAGACAGTACCAGGAGTCCGGGTCACTCTCCCTAAAGCCCTTGGCAAAAGGGTTGCTGGCGATTTTCAGCTGAGTGATCTGCAGGGCAGAAACTGTAGTTATGAGCCAGCTCTGAGCTGGGGAAAGGCTGTGGGGCCCCAGGCTCAGCCACCCTCTCCTCCCAGGACCCCCCAATCTGGAGGAACCACAGAGCCGGTGAGCGTGAAGGCAGAGGAATGACTGTGGACAGATACCCACTGAGTCCCAGGGAGGGAGGGGAGGGCAGGGGTCTGTGTGCAGGAGGGGCCTAAGAGCCTGGGGCCTTAGTCTCCCCGCTGTGAAATGGGCTGGCAGCTGCCTCATGAGCTGTGGCCTGACCCACCCGATGGTTCTGATATGCTGTCACGGCCGTGAACTGGGTCTCCGTGAAGACGAAGGACTTAAAGTTCTCCTGGGCGTAGCGCTCACTGTCTTTGCGTGGGTCCACGAAGACCACGTGGAAGCGGGGCTGGTAGCGGTGCATAGAGTTGAGGATGATCTGTGGGGGGTGCGGAAGTGGGTGTGCAGGGGTGGGGCGCAGCCACAAACCCTCACTGAGGCTGAAGCCCTTTTCCCCCGGGAAAAAGGCAGCCCTGAGCCCGCAGCCCATCTTGAAATGGTGGTGCCGGGTCTGGGCTTGAGAGACTGCAGTTCTTTGTCAAAGGCCCCTTTGTGTCTGAGCATCCTTGCTGCTTGGCCTTCCCTCATTCCCACGTCCCAGCTGTCACAGAATTATCCGGGACCTGACCACCTCTCCCACCCACTGCCTCCACCCCTCCCAGCCACCATCATCTTTCTCCTGGGTTTCCTCAGCTGCCTCCTGGCTGCGCTCCTCGCCTCCGCCGGGTGCCTCTGCCCGTTCCCCACATAGCAGCCCCAGTGAGCAGCTCAGAACCCTCCTGTGACTCCTGCCCCATACAGAGTAAAGACCAAAATCCTCTCTGGAGCCAACTGGCCCTGCAGATCAGCCCTGGCCACCCCTAGGATCCCTTTCCCGCCTACTGCCCCTCCGTGGTCCACTGCAGCCACACAGGAGCCTCTTCGAAGCTCCCAAAGTCCCCAACATTCTCTAGCCTCAGGGCCTTTGCACTTGGTGTTCCCTCTGCCTGCAACAGCTCCCCCTTCTATACGCATGGGCTCCTTCCTGCACTTCCTTCGGATCTCTCTTCAGATATCCCTTGAGCCCCGTGAACTGAACAGCCACCTCCGTCTCAGCCCCCCTCTCTGTTTCCTTTTTCTCCTGGCATTTATCACCACCTGAGACATCTGGATTCTTATCATCTGCTCCCTACCCCAGGAGGGGAGTCCCGTGAGGGCAGGGGTCTTTGTCCGTTTGACAGAGTGTCAGCAGTGCTGTGTTCCTACCTGTCTGGGCAGTCCCCTCTGCTCTCCAGCCCCTGGCCAGGTGAACTTGGCCCCCAGCCTTGGCATCAGACTCAGGCAGGGGTGCTGGGAACTAAGGCCATCAGGCACCAAAGGCCTTCGGGCTTCATCACAATCAGGCCCCAGTGTCCCCTGCCCTGGCCCAACCCCTCCCAACTGTGGCCCGGGCCTCACGTGGCCGTTGTCGTCCAGCAGGTTGTTGGTCAGCTTGAGCTTGTCAAAGGACACAATCTGGCGCATCCACTGTGCACCCTTGGCCGGTGAGTCGGGGTGGAAGTGCACGCGACCAGGCGTGGCTGGGTCTGCCTTGCCTGCCACCAGCCAGGCTGAGCTGTGGAAGGCGTACCTGGGGACAGAGCAAGATGGCGAGGGCGCCCCGACTGCACCCCACGACATCTCATCTGCTGCTGCCCCTATGTAGAGCCAAGACTGATGAGGCGACAGGGCCGTCCTTGTCCCCATCACTGCCCAGGCACCAACTCCATCTGCACATGGGGAACCGGAGGCTCCAAGAATGCTGTGCAGCCCTGGGTTCCCCATGGCTCCACCCGCTGCCCAGGGCTAACCCACCCTGCCTGCCCAGGCTCACCCGCTGCCCACTTCAGACTGGGGCTGCCCTGATCTGTCCACCATCAGGCTCCCCACTGCTGCCCCAGGATAGGCCTCCCTGACACTGCTCTGCCTGGCCCCTGCCTCCCCCAGGTGCAGGTAGGGGTCTACCTTCCCATCTCAGCACCTGAGGTCTGAGCTGCATCCCCTGGCCAGCCCCCAGACCTGTATCTCTTGTCGTCCAGAGGCACAAAATCCATGAGCAGCGCATAGTCAGCCAGAGTGTCCATGCCCAGAATCTTCACCTGGAAGGTGGGGAACATCCTCCTGCAGGAGGGGGCGCTCAGCTGCCAGAATCTGGCTCCACCCTGGCCCCTGCCCCCACCACACACACCCCCTCTACTCATACCTGCCTGCCTTGGTGACTATCATCTCTGTGCCCAGCTGGTTGAACTCCTCCCACAAAGCCTTCATCTCCAGCCGAACCGTCACGCTCGACACATGTGGATTCTTGGGGCCCTGCCCAATGGGCTCAGCCACAGCCTGGACCCCTGCAGAGCCGGTGGAAGAGTCTGATGGTAACAGGAAGTCCAGCTGGGGCTCCCAGCTGGGGCTAATCGTGGGCAGGGTGTAGGTCTCCGAGGGGGCAAATACCCTGAGGCCAGCAGAGAGGAAAGCTGGGGAGAGAGGATAGAATGTGGGCTCTTGTTCACCTCACCCACCCCCACTCCACCCAGCCAGCCTTCATCTTTCAGGCTGCACCTAGAAGCTTCTTCCTCCAGGAAGCCCTCCCTGACTGCCAGGCCTGTGTTCCCACAGGATGCCCAACTCAGCATTACTTTATGAGGTAAATGCTCGCTTAAAGCTCAGGGAGGCCAGAGACAGAGACTGTCTGGCTCCCCAGGGAATCTTTGAGCCATCAAGAGGCCATGTGGACTTGAGCAAATTGTTTTACCTCCCTTAGCCTCAGTTTCCACATCTGTCACAGGGGTTCTTAATATCTGCCTTACAGGGCTGATGTGAGGATTTGTGAGGACACACAGCAGCCCTGGCACACAGTAGGCCCTGCATAAAGGACATCTGTTATGGATGAGGGGACATGTGGGGTCATAGGGTTGGGGGTGGGGGTGTTTCTCAGCTCTGTGGGGACCCGGCTGCCTGGTGCAGCTTAAGAACACTGAGCTGATAGGGATCCCCAAATTACCACGACTCTCACCCACCTCTGACCCCGAGAACCCGCCCAAATCCTGCCTCCAGAAGCAAGTTCTAACAGCTTTCTGCTCTGGCCTCCTCATTTTTTTTCTAAAGAGCCCATCTTTTGATCTGCAATCCTGGCACAAGCCTTGCCCAAAAACTGCTGCACTCTAACTTTCTGATTAAAAAGAAATCCTTCCTACAATGAAATACTATTTTATACTCTCAAGGATGCCTATTACCAAAAACAAAACAATAATGAAAACAAAAAACGAAAATTTACAAGTGTTGGCGAGGATGTGGAGACATTGGAACCTTTGTGCTTTGCTGGTGGAATATAAAATGGTGTAGCTGCTGTGGAAAAGGCTGGCTGTTCCTCAGAACATTAAAGATAGAAATACCATGTGATCCACCAATTCCATTTTTAAGTATATACCCAAAGAATCAAGAGCAAGGACCTGAACAGATCTGTGTACCTGTGTTCATAGCAGCATTGTTCACAATAGCTAAAATGTAGAATGACCCCAAATGTCCATTGCTGAATGAATGGATGAGCAGAATGTGTCTATACAGACAATGAAATATTATTATCCAGCCTTTAAAAGGAAGGAAATTGTGGCACAGGCTACAATACGGATGAACCTTGAGGATGTTATGCTAAGTGAAACAAGCCAGTCACAAAAGGACAAATATATGATTCCACTCATAGGAGGTACCCAGAGTAGTCAAATTCATAGAAAGTAGGATGGTGGGGGCCAGGGGCATGGGGAGGGGGAATGGAGATTTAATGTTTAAAGGGGACAGAGTTTCAGTTTTACAAGATGCAAAAAGTTCTGGAGATGGATGGTGGTGATGATTGCACAACAATATGAATGTGCTTAAAGCCACTGAACACTTAAAGATGGTTAAAATGGTTATTTTTATGTTATGTGTATTTTAATACAATTAAAAATTGGGGGGGCAGAGGGAGATAATTAGGCTTATTTATTTATTTTTAGAGGAGATACTGAGGATTGAGCCCAGGACCTCATGCATGCTAAGCTGTACCCTCCCCCCTTAAAAATTTTAAACTAGAATAAGCATCCTGAAAACCAGAGCATTAGTTTTAGCAGCACCATAAGAGGCAGAAGACCTGGTAAAACCATGAGATCCCCTGGGCAGAGGCAGAATGTTGGCACTGGAGCAATGGATGGACAGACAGCCGGGTGGAGGGAGACTCCTGGAATGGTGGAACGTGTAATGTGCTCCCAGGCGGGCAGCAGCTGGCTAGAGCCAGTGCATAGTGGGTACCTGGTGAGAGTGGGGCCCAAGGCCCGTGGCCCCTCCCATCCTTAGCAGCCCTAAAAGCCACGTTGAGAAGTGGCACCTCACTAAAGCCCCTGGAGTCTAGAGGTGGGTGTGTTTCACTGAGAGAGGAGGGACCATCTCAGGTTTAAATCCCCCAGAGGGGCATGAAGGGCGGATAAGCTGGTGTCCCCCACCATCTGGACCGGCCATCAAATGGGCAACTGCCCATCACTCAGCTGTCCCGCGGAGGCAGGTACATCATTCAGGTAAACGATGCCAGCCCCCGGGGTCCACGGTGGTGGGTCCCAAGGGGGAGAGGCTCATATGCTTTGCTGGGCCTGGGGACTTCGCAGGCTGCTCACTGGCTCCCAAGTCTTCTATGAGCCCATGCCCTGCCCATCCCGGTCCACAGGCAGCCCCTCAGCACCCTCAGGAACTCTGGGGAGGAGCCTGTCCTCTGCCCAGTTCCTTGAGAAGCCAGCACCTCTTGGGTTCAGGAGTTGACAGTTTCCCACAGGCACAGAGTGAGGTCTGCAGAGGAAGTTACCCAGCCCCTGACTTTGATACACAGGGGTGAGGCCCAGAGAGGGGCGGGGACAGGCCCAAGGTCGCCCACGCCTGAGAAGGCCTTCACCTCCCAGAATGGCTCTGTTCCCCTCCCTGTCAGCACCCCCATGGTTACACTTGAGTGACCGGCAGCCCCTTGACTCCGCCCTGGCAGGATCTGAGGCCTCAGCCTGGGGTGCCCCTGCCCCATCCTCTTGCCCAGGGCCTGAGTCCAGTGGGGTTTCCTTGGTCCCCATGCTCAGTCCCTGCCCTGCCCCACTCACTCGGAGTCCACGCCTGGGGCCACCTTAGTTGTTCACGCCTTACCTGCCATGGGGACAGCCTGGACTTCCAGCTCCTGGAGAAGCGCTGCTCAGCTGGAGCCCCTGCCTGCCAGGACGGGGATCAGCCTCTCCTGCTCTCCTGGTCCATTCGGCTGTCCAGCTCAGCTCTCAGGCCTTCACTCAGTCCCCAGTCTCCTGGCAGGACTGTCCTTCCCTCCTCGATCACCCAGGTCTTGGTTCTCCACTGGAGCCAGGCACCCTGGTTCTGAGGGCCCCTTCTCCAAGCCACACAGAGTGGATTGTGCGAGGCTGCTGGCTCGGCTCGTCCAGCTCCAGGCACGATGCTGTGCGGGAGGAGGGCAGGTGGGAAGGCTCTGACGTGGCAAAGCCTCCATTCCCCCTCCCGGTCTCCCTCCTGGCTTCCTCCCTTCCCCAGCTAGGAGCCCCCCCAGCCATTCCTGATCAATGAGCCCAGGCGCAGGGCGGGGGCCCATCTTGAGGATGGGCTGGGCGATCCACAGGGGCCCAGGCCTGGCTGACTGGAGGGGCTGCGGCTGACAAGGCTTCAAGGAGGGGGTGCGGGCTGCAGCAGTAGCAGGAGAAAGGAGAGCTGAATGATCAAGGCAGTGCCCTCTCACCAGGACCCAGACCCCTGACCTGAGTGGTGTGGAATCATGGGGAAACTTGAGCAGGAAAGGCAAGGGGGCAACAGCCACAAGTACAAGCAGAGGTGGAGCCCCTGGGCTGGGTGGCAGGAAGCCGTCCTCCAGACAGCTTGGCCTGATGAACTGTGCAACGCTAGCAGGTCCCTAGTAGTCCCCATGCCTCAGTTTCCCCAACTGAACTAACTGCATAATTGCTTCTGCCTGGGATGGGCTGGCCCAGCCTGGGGAGCAATAAGCTGTCTGCATCCTGGTTGACAGTGCCTACATAGTCCCCACGGGGTAGGGGGCTGGCCCAGGTCAGAGGTCCCTGGGACATGTCTGCTCTGCCTGCAGGTCTGTCTGTTCTGTTCAGCCCGACCAGGCCCCTCCCCAGGTTGCCCTTGCTTGTTTGGCGCTGGGTATTCAGGGAACACACAGATCACTGATCAGGAAGGCAGAGGTGAGGGATCCCACAAAGCTAGTTGCTGCCATATGGCCCAAGGAGGGTCATCGGGCTACATCCCCAGGTAGCCTACTCCAGGAGGGAGCACTGCAGCCTAGCCCCCGGGTGGGAGCTCCAGGCGAGAGCAGGCCAGGCTGGACTGGGCATGCTCTACTGGGGTCCCCAAAGTCAGCTGGACCCCCTACACCTCCTCCAGAGTCTGGCACTGGGGAAATGGGGTTGGCAGAGGCCCATACCTAAGAGGGGGCACAGAGTGACACTCCAGCCCCTCCCAGAGCTGTATATCAGGGGCAGACCTCTCCCCCTTCAGCTAGGGGAGGCCTGCTGCTTCAGTCCCCTGGGCCCGAGATTCCTGCCTGCCCAGCTGGGAGGAATCCCGCAGGGAGAGTGTTGACCAACCCCCAGCACAGACCCACGCCCAGCTGTGGGAGGAAGGTGATGCCAGCTCTGGGGTTTGCTGTTGGGCAAGACGGGGGGCAGTTCTCTGCGCTTGTGATGGAAGGTCCCATTGGCTCCCAGGGGCCACCCAGTGAGGTGTGGCCAGGCTATCCTGTCCCAGGATCCACAGTGGGGCAGGCGGGAAATGGGAGAGATGATGGAGAACTGGGGGGATCCGCACCGGTCCTGGTGGCTCCTCCTCAGCCAGGACTCCCAGGGGCCCAGGGTTCTATTGGCTTCTGGTGTGTGTGTGTGTGTGTGTGTGTGTGTGCGCGCGCGCATGTGCACACGTGTGCTTGAACATGCCATTGGTCTGTGTGATGAGAACCCTCCCATGTGTACATAAGTACACTGACATCACTGACATTCCAACCCACATGCACACACAAACTCAAGGCCGGATGACCCGCCACCACTCATGTGCACATATGCACAAGCTCCTGTGTGCACAGAAACACAGGCTTTCTCTTACATGCACACACACACCACAAGAACCATGCACAGAGGCATACCTCCCTCTACAGCCTCCTCCCCAGCTGGCTTGCCCTTCCTGCCGGAGGCGCCTGCTGGCCCCCTGCCCCCTCATCCATCTTGCCTGCCAGCCTGTCCCTCGTGCCCCCATATCCTTCACACCTTCTCATCTTGCTGCTCAATAGCAGGAGGCAGTGTGGCAGCCGTGGCCACAGGGAGATGGATGGGCCAGGCGGGTGTGTAGAGGGGCCAGGGAGTGATGCCTGGAGAGGACGGAGCTCTGGGACCCACCAGCCCCAGTGTCAGGCAGAAGTGATGCTGCCAGGCTCCAGTGGGTGTGGAAAGTGTGAGGCTGAGTCCAGGTCCTGACTCGCCCTGTCCAGTTCAGCCATGCCATGGACACCCTGCAGAGAGTGCCTGGATTGGGACTGAGGGGATCCCAGCAGCAGATCCTGTGCCCACTCCCTCCCTGACACTGACGTGCAGTGTCCTGGTGATGAAGGAGTCTCAGCCTCCCTGGTAGAACTCCCGCCTACCCTACCTGTACCGCCTACTTGTGTCCCTGTGCCTGGAGGGGCTGTCCTGGGTGGGGAGAGCCTTGGGGAGCTGTACTTTTTCCTGGCCTTGACTGCCCCTGAGCCCTCATAGGCATTGAGCTCATTACACACCTGGAAATGCACATTTGGGCTGTGCACTCAGCCACATGTGGATCCCCCAGAGTGCCCAAGGTACTGAGGCTCTCAGAAACACATGTATGTACAGACACTCACAGCCACATAGAGCACCTAGGCATGGACATCCACACACGTGTGCACATACTTCTGCCCTCCCAGATCGACTCTCTGGCCCTGGAAATGTAGTGGAGTTGGAACCCTCCTCTGGGTCATGGTCTCCTCTGGAAGCCCCTCTGCTGGCCCTAGGACCATCTTTCTCCAAGCCCTGCTCCCTCCCCCCAGCACACACCACCGGATCTTCCTCCTGGGCACTGATGAAAAAGCGTGGGCACATAGACAGCCACGACTCGCCCCGGGACACAGCATGTCCAAGACCACCCTGAGCCAGACCTGCCCTAGATCTGAGGTTGAGGTGGGAAGCCCCATAAAAAGACCAGCAGGACCCCCCCCCCCGCCCCGGCAGAGCCACTACTCTCCTGCCAGCACCATCCGGTTCCCTGGCCCAGAGGCTCTATCTTTTTTTGCCTCTGGAAGGGCTTACTTCTAGGAAAGTGGAACTTATCCGTAAAATTCTATTGGTTCCCTGAGCTAACTCCTCATTGGTTATTTCCTTCACTCCTGATTGGTTATTTCTCTAACTTCTGATTGGTCCGTTTGTAGTACTTTATTTGCATGGAGCTCACGCCTGATTGTTTCTCTCCCTCCTGATTGGTCCATTTCTACAAAGCTTGTTCCTAATTAGTCAACTTTTGTTATACCTTATTTGCATAGGATGTTGCAAACTGTAAACTGGCAGCCTATAAAAGCCTGTGTAAATCTACACAGGGGGTCCAGAGTTTGGAGTGTTAACTTATCTGGGCCTGCTGGCATAATAAATCTGAGTTCTCCAACTCTCCCGAGTGCTGTTTGGTCTCTCGCTGGGATCCAGGTTGCTGTCACAACTGAGCTGTAACACGTTTTTCTACAACAAGGTCACAGAAGGGCCATGAAGGACAGGACACAAACTGTGGTGTCCCCTTCACCATAATGTTGTTACCAGTAATATAACACATCAAAATAAAATATGTAGCTATAATAAGAGCAAAAAAAAAAAAAAAAGTCCAACCAAATTCTGATTTTCCTCACCATTGTTATTTGGTCCTTTAAAAAGGACCAGATTTTTGAAATACCTAAATCTTCCTACTGTTTCTCTCTCTTGTGTGCCCATGCTTTGCTGTGCCCTCGGCTGGGGGTTCTGCTTGCCCTGGGAATGAGACCATGGCTGCCTCTCTCAGGGAGGGACACGGCTGACAAAGGAAGGAGGTGGAGGTGCCTGAGACAGAAACCCATACCTGCAGAGGTTCCGCATTACTTGGTCACCCAGGTGGCGGGGAGTGGGGGGCTGGCTGGGGCCTGAGTTCCACTGACAGAAAAGGACCCTACCGGCCCACAAAGACTCGTCACGAAGGAGAGAGCTCTGGGTGGTCACTGGCTCCGGAGCAGAGCTTTGGGGTGGGTGGGGGAGGGCTGGTGCCAACAGAGCAGGTGACACTCTCTGAAGCTCCTCCCACCTCTGAAGGCCAGTTGAGGGGCTTGGGGAACAGTTACTAGGCAGGCTAGGGCTGAGGAGCCCAGGATTGCTGGACACAAAGGCCACCGGAGGGCATGGATGTTGCTCAACAGCGACCCCATGTGGCAGAAAATAGAGCAGCAGCTGGTGGGCTGCCCGTTCTTCCCAACCTCCTTCTTGCTAGGTTTAGAAGCAGGATTACCCAATTCCTGTAACATGAGGAAGGGGAGGTCTGGAGGGGATGATGCTGGACTCCCTGCTAACATGCATAGGGATGCTCGTGGAATTAACTGGAAAATAAGGAGAGAGCTGCGTATTTGCACCAACAAGCAGGCGAATTTGGTAGTACCTGTTCCATATCCCCTCCTGCCCTCCGCAGGCTCTGTGAGGATCTCTGTGGCCCCAAGTCCTAGGCCTGCGTGTGGGGTTCCCGGGGAGCCAAGATGGGCGAGGCATAGGGGAGGCCAATCTCCTGTCCTGCTCCTGATTCTGAGGTGCTGGTGACCCTGAGGGAGGCACCTGTGATCCCTCCCTCTGGGCCTTAGTTTTCTCTGACACCCCCAAGGCTGTTACTCTGGAATCTTCCCCCATAACACACACACCTGCAGCTGAGGACCTGCCAAGTCCTTGGCCTCGGTGCAAGGGAAGTCCACACTGCTCACAGTTCTATGCGTTTCCATCTCACAGGCAGGAAAGGCCGTGCCTGTGCAGGAGGCTGAGTGTGTGAGCCCGTCCCTCCGGGCCCAGGGCGAAGTGCGCCGTAGGGAGCCTGCCTCCTTGGTCCCTGGGCCAGGCCCTCTCCTCTCTGGGCCTCAATTTCCCAGCAAGTCCCCGGGGGTCTCACTATGGTTGAACAGCTCGATAAAGTCCAGAGCTGCGGCCACCAAGGCCCTCAACCGGGGGAAAATGTCGGTGCTCAGCTGGGCCAGGCCCACCTCCAAGGCTGAATATCGAGCGGGGACGCCGCAGAGAGGGGGCGCTCCAGACCTCCGGCCCCGACCCCGCCCATCTCCTGGCCCCGCCCTTCCAAGACCCGACCCGCCCACTTCTCTTAAGGTTCCCACTCACCTAGTCAGTTCTTGGCCACAGTAACTCTCCTCCCGGGCCTGTAACTCTCCTCCCCCGGTCTACCCAGCAGGGCGGCTCAGGCTCCGCGGCTGGGGGCGGGAGGGGCGGGTCAGGGCCCCAGGCCTACGTGGGAGGGGAAGCTAAGGAGGGGTGAAGGGTGAGACCATGAGGGAGCACCCGCCTCCCGCTGCCCTCCTGTGGGGAGGGGGAAGAGAGAAGGACCACAGGGCCTGGAGTATCTGCAGGTGGCAGGCCCCGGCTACTGAAGCCTGGGAAAGGGGCTGAGGAGGGGAGGCAACGTCCTTTGTCCGCTTCCTCACCTTCCCCTGCTATGGCTGGGGATTGAGCGAGTGAGGACGCGGGGCAGGGCCACCTGTAGATGGTGGCACCGGTGCATGGCAAAAACACCTTGTGGGTGCCTTCCATGATGAGACCGTGGTGTTGTGAAGGTCAAGGATGAGTCAAAGGCTGGGCCCAACTCCTTGGGTGGTCCCAGCAGCAGATTCAGTTCTTGGGCCTTGTCACCTTATACAGGTCATCCCGGTTGGCCCTGGCATGGTGGAGGCAGAAATGGAGTATCAGCCCCCTGACGTCTCAGTCAAGGATCTAGTGGGGGCGGGGAGCCTCATGCTGCCAGCAGGAGTGAAGCTCCTGAGACTCTCCAGGAGGGACAGAGCCACTTAGGAGCTCGTGTGGATACCTGCCTGGCTCAGGGCCCTTGTTGACTCCCTACGGCCCCATAAAGTCGAAACCCTTGGCCTGGCCCTGCCCACCTGCTTCATCAGCTCTCATGCCAGCCACTCCTCCACATCTTCAGGCCTCGAACCTGCTAGGCCTGTCCCTGGATACTCCTCTCCTGTCTTCACCTGGTTAACTAATACTCACTCTTTGGGCCTTGGTTGAGATCCCACCTCCCCCAGGAAGCCTTCCCTGATTGCCCTTGCCCAAGTTAGATGCCTTGTGTAGCCACCACCCCTGCATTTAGCCTCCTAGTTTGTGGCTGTTGGGTCCTTCCTCTGTCTCCCACAGTAAGCACCCCAGTCCTATTTCCCATTCTCTCACCTAAACTGACCAGAGCCTGGCTCAGACACAGGGCTCAGCCAATATCCATTGAAGGAAGGTATAAACAGTGGTTAAGTAAACAGTTGGTGGGTAAGCACAGCTGGTGGGGCTGATCTGAGGCAAGCCCCAGGGTCTGGAGAACCCAGGGGAGGTCCTGTCCCAGCTTGGGATCAGGAAGGGCTTCCTGGCGGAGGTGAAATCAATCTGGAGTTCTCAAAACTGGAAAGGGAGGAATGGGCGTTGCAGGCAGAGGGTGACCCTGCTGGTGGCCACAGCGTGAGCTGAGATGGAGACCTCAGTGGGCACGTCCCCCCACCCTCCCGTCACTGCGCCGTGGCACAGGGCCTCTCTGGGCACTGGCAGCCAGCACACAGTGGTGTTGGATGGCGTGCCTAGTGGGTGGACCTGCCCAGGCAACCCTGGTGGAGATGCAGGGCTCAGGGCTCAGGGCTCAGGGCTGGGCTGGAGGTGTTGCGCTCCCTGGGGCCTGAGGAGCCCAAGCCCAGCTAAGGCAGGGCAACTGCTTGTCCAAAGGAGCTGGTTGTGGAGTGGCACGATCCGGATGACTCCTGCTCCTTCCTGCCCCTCCCCCATGCTCCTCTGAGCTGGTACTGGGGCCTTAGGGCCTCCAGGACTAGGGTGTGCAATTTCTGGACCCATAGGAATCTATGGGTCTGGAGATCCCTGGGCAGGAAGGGTTTCTGCTGAGTTGGTGGAGAGCAGGGATGGGGGTGTGTGTGGGCTGAGGTCCACCTGGAGGTCAGGAGCGCTGGGGTCTCCCTGCCTGGCTCTAACTCACACTGTTGCTTGCTGCTGCCACAGTCCACTGAGTCCAGACCCTGCAGCCAGGCTCCCACCCTGGCCCTCAGTCCCTTCCCTGGGAATTGGAACAGCCCCACCTCCCAGGGCTATGTGGGCATCCCACTGGGGAGTTTGGGAAATTACTTGCGGGGACTCTTTAAAGCCTGGGATGAAGACAACTCCCCCAGAGGGAACCTCAGAGGTCTGCCAAGTGCGGGCTATTCTCAGGTGTCCAGCCCAGGGTGAGCAGGCCTGGAATCTGCCACTGGCTGAGCCGTGGGCTGCCACCAGACCGGGCCACTGCAGTTGAGGTGTGTGCCTTGGTGGCCACTCAGATGAGGAACGTCCCCCTCGCGCATCCTCTCAGCAGCATGCTCTGCCCCTGCAGCCCCCAGAGGGCCAGGGTCACTTCTGGAACTCCGTTCCTCCAAAGGGCTATTGAGCTATGGGGTCCCAGCTCCACAGCTCTTTGATTCTTTCAACAAAATTTCAAAATATTTCATCCAGTATTTTTTCCCCTTAACAGAGGCACTGGGGATTGAACCCAGGACCTTGTGCACACCAAGCACAGTGGTCTACCACTGAAGTACACCCCCCAACTCATCATCTTGTGTTTTTGATTGTCCTCAGGGACAGATATAACTCAAGTGATTCAACTTGCTTTGTTTTGGAAATGACCCTCAGACCCATTTTATAGATGAGGAAACAGAGGCTCAGACAGGAGGCCCAAAGGCACCCAGGGCACTAGGGGCAGAACTGGAGTTGGAACCTGGGGGTCCAATCTGAGCTCTCCCTGATGCTCTCAAGGGACAAGGCAGGGAAGGATGAAGACTAAGTACCCTGCACCTGGTCCCGGGGCCTGTCCTTTCCCCAGGCTCAGCTGTCAGGGAGGAGATGATGGCAGTCTAGCCGTCCCTGAGGAGAGGAGCAGTGACATGTCCAGCCAGGTCTCCAATGCCTACTGCATGCCAGCACTGGGGCCCTGAGGCTGGGCCTCCCCCGAGGTGTCTGGTCCCAGGCTCTCTTCACGACCAGACTGAGTCCTCCCAGGCAGTTTCAGCCCTGCTCCAGCATCAGGCCCAGCGGCTGGGGGCTCCCTCCAGGCCAGGCCTCTTTGCAGTGGCTTAGATCACACACAACTCATTGTGAGGGCTGGGCTCGCCCTCCGCTTTCCTGCTCTCCTGCCTCCCACCCCCTGATTGTGGGGCCTGTGGCTCCCATCAGCGCAGCTGGTAATAGGGTAGCTGGGGTGGGGGTCGGGGTGAAGTGTGAGGCTGGGTCACCAAGGGGGCGGGCTCCCCATAGCTCCCTTCAGGGCCACCCCTTCCTGGGATCTGGAGCCTCAGCAAAGGGAGGACAGAGACCTCCACTAGGGTCACTGAATCTTCACGGCAATGGCCCTGCAAGCCAGCAAAGGGAGAGCAACTGTTATTTGCTGTTTCGCGAGGCCAGACCTGGGGTCTAAGAGGTTGAACGACTTGGCCAAGCTCTGGGCTGGCAGTGGTGGACCGAGTCAGTGGGCGAGCCTGTGCCTGCCTTCCTCCTGTCCTCCCTGGTCCCTGCTTTGTTCAAGGCCAGGGGCTCAAGGCCCCACTCTTTGGGTCAGAGCTGTGCTCTTTGAGAGGCGCACCGGGGCTGCTGGGAGTCCACTGCCTCGCTCGCTACCAGACCTCTCGGGAGGGCAGCAGGGGCCTGCCCAGCAGCCCCTGCTGTTCGCCGGGTTGCTGGAGGCCAGGATGCTTCCCTCCAGGAGGAGCTGGGCCCCCAGCTCAGGGCAGGACAGCAGTAGGGAGTCCTGGAGAGTTTTACTTCCTTTGGCTGAGGTCCAGCTTCCCCGTCGCAGAGGGTGTTTATAGATTTTTAAATTTTTCCAAAAAAATTTTTTCATTGAAATATGGTTGATTTACAATGTTTCAGGTATACAGCAAAGTGATTCAGTTATGTATATATAAATATATATCTGTGTATATCTATATATGTGTTCTTTTTCAGATTCTTTTCCATTATAGGTTATTACAAGACGGTGAATATAGTTTCCTGTGCTGTACAGTAGGACCTTGTTGTTTATCTATTTTTTTTAACTTAAAATTTTTTTCTTTGCGGGGGAGGTAATTAGGTTTATTTATTTGTTTTAACAGAGGTACTGGGGATTGAACCCAGGACCTCACATATGCTAGGCATGCACTCTACCACTGAGCTATGCACTCCCCTCTATTTTATATATAGTAGTTTCTATCTGCTAATTCCAAACTCTTAATTTACCCCTCCCTCCCTTTCCCCTTTGGTAACTGTAAGTTTGTTCTCTGTGTCCGTGAGTCTGTTTCTGTTTTGTAAATAAATTCATCTGTATCATTTTTTAGAGTTTTTAGATTCCACATGAGTGCTATCATATGATATTTGTCTTTCTCTGTCTGACTTCGCATAGTATGATAATCTCTAGGTCCATCCATGTTACTGCAAATGGCATTATTTCATTCTTTTTTTATGGCTGAGTAGTTGAGTAATATTCCATTGTGTGTGTGTGTGCGCATGCGTGCGTGCATACATTTGTGTATACAGTGTCTTCTTTATCTAGTCATCTGTTGATGGACATTTAGTTTGCTTCCATGTCTTGGTTGTTGTAAATAATGCCACTATGACCATTGGGGGTGCATGTGTCTTTTCAAATTAGAGTTTTTGTCTTTTTTGGCTATATGCCCAGCAGTGGGATTGCTGGATCATATGATCAAGTCTGTTGTTAGTTTTTTAGGGCAGCTCCATACTGCTTTCCATAGTAGCTGCACCAATTACATTCCCGCCAACAGTGTAGGAGGGTTCCCTTTTCTCCACACCCTCAGAAGGTGTTTACAGAATGTAAGGGCATCTGGGAGCCTGGGCAAGAGCCCCCAGAAACAGTAGCCCCCGATCCTAACTGAGCATGCACAGGCATGCGTGGGTGCCCAGCGTCTGCCCGCCTGGGGATCCGTGTGTTCATCGCTGTGCTCGTGCACCAACGTGTGTCTGTGCTGCAGCAGCAGTAACAGTCTGGAGGTGGGCCTGCTGAGTGGCACCTCTGAGGCCCAGGAAGTAGAGGGGCCCCCCGCCCCCACTGCCTGTGACACCTCTCCCTGACAGGCTGTGTGAGTTGGGGAGAGTCAGTGGCCCTCTCTGGGCCTTGGCTTCTGCCTGTGAAATGGGAGGGAGGCTCCCTTCCGGGCCTGGCAGCTGTGAGGAGGGAGCGCAGGGGCAGGTGCAAGCTTGGAGGACAGGCATGGGCGCAGCAGACCCCGGCCTGACCCAGGGCTGAGGCACCGTGAGTGGGCCAAGTTCTTCACTGCTGTGGGGGAAACTGAGGCCCAGAGAGGGGACAGGATCTGAACCAACCTACAGAATGTTAAGGCTTGGCTCAGGAGAGCCATGTGACCTGGGAGCCACACCTAAGGGCCACTGTCCAGGGGCTTTGGAGCCCTCCGGCCTGACTGTCCATCAGCCTGACCAGGCTCTGACTTCCCCTTTGGCCTCTGCTCACTCCCCTCATGCCAGACTTTCTCAGCATCCTCATCACAGCTGTTCCTCCATGCCCAGGACCACCCTGGCCCCTCCTTCCTGCTGGTCTGGTGTCCTGGGGTGGGGGTGGGAGGAAGGCTCACCCCATATTGTTGTTTTACGTAATGGCCCACTCTGGACTGTGACCTATTACCACAGTGGAACCAGCGCCTAGGGCTGGACCCTCAGGCACCCCGGGACCACCCCCAAGCCTTGAGGCGATAGGATGCCATGATTGTCGGACAAGGAGAAGCTGCTGTCACAAAAACTGTGGCTGTGCAGAGCCCTGGGAAGCTCCGGGGGCAACTCTGTAGCCAGGGCCTCTGCCCAGTGCTCACTCAGCTTCTGTAAGAGTCTGGACTCCACTGTGTCCTGGAGTGCGGGTCCCTAGGCCCCACATGTATGATCCCATTGAACATCACACCAGCTGTAAGAGGTAGGTGGGAACTCCATTCTACAGGATAAGGAAGCAGAGGCTCAGAGTAGTTAAGCAAGTTGTCCAGAGGCATCCAGCAACAATATGGAGTGTTGCAAACCCAAGATTTTAGGTGGTGGAGCTACTGCAGGTATGTGTCGGGTGACATGTTAGCCATGAGACCCATCTGGAGTTGGAGCTAGACTCCCAGGGGAGCAGTGGGTGAGTGGAGTTGGAGGTGGGGCAGAGGTGGATGGGAGGGAGCACTGGGAGGAGGGCACAGTGCAGGCAGGGGCCTGGGAGGGTTCAAGGCTCTCTGAACCTCTGAGTTTCTGGGTTGTAAGAAGCAGGACCAAGTCTTTGTTCCATATTTGGATAACACTGTCTCCAGGACTGGGCCTGGTCAGCCATGACCAAGAGAGAAAAGGCTAGCATTGGGAAGGGTGGCCTGAGCAGGGTACACCTGTCACATTTCGTGGCCTGTCTTGGACAGCCTCCTGGGGGAGGGGTAGTCAGAGCGTGTGTCCCAGCCTCCCTTGCAACTAGGATGCAGTCATGTGACTCTGCCCCACCAATGAGGTGAGAGCCTGCCATACAGGGGAGCAGTGTGAGGGAGCTGGAGGGTGCAGAGCCCAGCTTATGGCTGGACTTGGGAGACAGGGCCCAGGTTTTTCTGTGTGACCCTAGGAAGTGTCTACACTCTCTGGGCCTGGGGACAGGAAGTCCTGCCCCACCTGTGGCAGCAGGCATACCTGGGTTTGAATTCAGCTTAAGCCTCACATTGTAAGCCTTAGAGACTCTGAAACTTAGAAACGCAGTCTCTCTGATCCTCAGTCTCTCTCCTGCTGACCAGAATGAGGACCCCATTATAGAGACTTCAGGTTTGGTGGGAACAAACACTGATGGCCACGAGGGCAAAAGGAACAAGATTGGTTGTGATGAGGTGAGGGCCCGAAGAAGAAACGCCCAAAGAATGTTTAATAAGCTCTGTCTTCTATTCTTTGTTCACTGGACCCATTGCCCAGACTATGGCCAGGAGACCCTCTGATTCTTCTCCGTTCCTCTGGCTTTCTCTTTTTAGTCCAAAGGCTATTTTAAGGAAACAACTTCCCAAGGTCAGGGTGGGGAGAAAGGTGATCTCTTAGACCCAGGCTCATTGGTCACTCGGCTTCTCTCTGGACCACCTACCCATCCATCTGTTCACTCATCCACCTCACCAGCTATCCATCATCTCTCACCCTATCACCTAGCCACTCACCTGCCCTTCTACCCACTCATTGTCTTATCCATCCATCAACCCACCCATTCATCCATCCAACCTCCCTTCATCGTTCACCATCTACTCACCCACTCACTCTTCCATCTATCCATCCATGCATCCTTCATCCATCCACCCACCCATCCTTCCTTCCTTCCATCCATCCTCTTGCTCCCTTATTCATTCTTTCCTTCACTCATCAACAAGCCCCTGTTAAACACCTCCTTTGAGTCCATCCTGTGCCTTTTGGAATCAACCAATCCCAACAATTCCCAGGGGAGCAGGAGGATCCTATGTCCTCTTGGTACTAGCTCAGCTTTCCCACAGTTCTGAGGGGTGAAGAGCCCACTGAAGCAAGACTGGATGGATTGGAAGTGGGCTCCCAGGGCGAGGACTAGGGGAAGATCAAGAGGCTGGTCATAATGGACCAGATGGGCTGTTTACTCATCCCCTACCCCCATATTTCTCAGGGAAGTCCACCATCACTCAGCTGTGCTCTGCTTTACTGTATAAACTCAGTTCAGCCCGTCCTGGCTCTAGACCCTCAGCTTTCCCATGTGTCAGATGAAGTGACCAGATTTTATTTCTGCCTGCCCTGACCTCCTGGGAATCTACAGCAGGAAAGATAGACGTGGCCAGCATGTGAATAACCCCCTCATCTGCCCATAGCAGACATCACTAATCAACTATTGAACACCTTCCTCTTGTTTCCACAAAACCTCATCAGAGTCCTTGTAAATAGCACACTTCATTCGGGGAGACACCACCAAATGACCAGATCTGAGTTCAAGATTGGATCACTTCAGGTCAGACAAACCCAGCTCCCCAAACCAGTTGTGACTAAGATGTTAGAAATCACTCTGTTTTGGGAGCCTATTTGTCAATCAGACACAAGGGAGTCTTTTCTAACCACCAGGGATGCTCAGTCTTGGGGATGAGTTCTCCGTCACCGGATATGTCCAAGCAGAGGATCAACAAATCTGTCAGGAGGCCGCAGGGGGGTCTTTGGCCCTGAAAGGGGCTGGACCAGTGGCCCAGAGGTCCTGCCCAGCCGGAGGTCTGTTCAGAAAAAACCCCAGAAGGAGGATCTTTGTGCTCCTGGACCCGACGCCCACTTTTCAGGGATGGAGGGGTGGGGATGCAGCACTGGCGGTGGGCAGGGTGCTCACAGAAGGGTGCAGCTCTGCTTGCCCAAGGCCCAGCTGATCAGCTGCTGTTTCCATTCAGAATAGGGAGGGTAGCGGATTGCGTTGAGCTTCTCCAGGCCCGAGCAGGAGAGCAGGCAGGCACGGTGGTGGGAGAAGGTGTCGAAGGAGAACTTGCCGTGGTATCTTCCCATCCCACTGTTGCCTGCATGGGCATGGAAGTGAGGGCCTCAGGTCAGGCAGCCCACCGCCTAGCAGGGAGCTCAGGGAAAGCCACGACATTCAAAGAGCCATTTTGCAGATAGGGAAACAGAGGCCTTGAGAGGCCTGGGGCCTAGACCAAGGCTGAATAGTGAGTGAGGCAAAACTAGGCCTTCCTCGGCCTGGGATGCCAAACTGGGCTTCCCTGGGGGTTGGGGCTGGAGGCTGAAGAAGGGCAGGGCTCACCGACTCCCCCCAGTGGCATGGACGACAGGGTCATGTACATGAAGCCCTCGTTGCCTCCAAAGCTGCCGCTGCTGGTCCGATCCAGCATCCGGTTCACCACCTGGTGGGACGAGGGGAGGCCGGGGGCAGGGAGGTGGCAGGTAGATTCATCATTCCACAAAGAGCATGGGGCCTCCCTGTCTCCATCCTCTACTGAGCTAGCCTTGCCCCTCTGAGCATGTTGCGGGGGCGCATGGCCATGGGGAGCTGCAGTGAGTCTCAAGCAGCAGTGGTGTGCAGGCCCTGTCAGGCCCCAGCTCTGCTCTGCCCCTGTCCCCCTTCAGGGGTTCTGCTTGCTCACACAGAACCTCTGCACGATTTATGAAAAGGGGGCTATCTGGGCAGGTCAGACAGAAATGGTGCCTCCTCATCGGGTGGAGGCTGCCCTGACCAGGGCAGACAGCTAGCCAGCCATGCGTTGGTGCTGCCCCAGCCCTCTCTGCCAGGCACCTATGTGCAGGGAGCTGTCATCCCAAGTGACCTGTATTATAGTCAAGCTGGAGGCATCTGCTTCCCCAACCCTCAGAGGTGGGCCATGAAAGGGGAGGTAACCAGTCTCACCCCTTTGGCCCCTCTGTTGCCCCCAGTCTTGCCCAAGCCCCCACCTGGTTGCTGTTGGAGAAGGCGTACAGGGCCAGGGGCTTCTCCCGACGGTTGATGAAGTCGATGGCCTCGTCCAGGCCCCTCACGTTCATGATGGGCAGGATGGGCCCAAAGATCTCCTCCTGCATCACCGGCTCTGTCTCCTGCACGTCCACCAGCACCGTGGGGGCTGCCCGGGCACAGGGGATGGCTCAGCCCCAGTGGTGGGGCTTCAGACAGGGCCCAGGGACCCAGGGCTCCAGGCTCGGGGATGTTCTAGGGAGGAGAGTCTCCCCACAGCCCTGAGAAGTGACCATGAGGCGTTCCCCAGCCTGACCAGGGCCTGTGGGGCCCCAAGAACCCCTCAGCCTCAGTCTTACAGTCAGAGGGTGACTAGATCTTGGACCCCTGGGGTCTGAGGTCCCAGGTCCCAGCCCGTCGGGCAGCAGCATCACCCTCTGAGCCGTTCGGTCCGGGAGGCTGGGGCTGCTTTGCTCACAGCGTAGAGGATGCTCAGCACAGGCTGTTGGAGTTCAGAACCGGGAATTGTGGGCTCACAGGACCGGGGTCATGGCCCCGTGGAGCAGCAGATCGTGGGGTGGAAGATTGGAATGTGAGCTCTCGGGAATTGGGAACCCTGGGGTCTGAACTTGGAGAATCCAGAGCCTGGGCCAGAGTGTGGAGTCGGAACACAGGCTCAGACCACAGCAACACGGAACACGAGTGTCATGGAATTGTGGCACCGGAGCCGTGGATCAGGCTGGGCTCCAGCAGTGGGGTCAAGGGAGCCTCAGGGCCCAAGGCTTCAGGTGGGGCCCAGACTCAAAGCCCGGCTGTGGCCTCCAGCGTGGAGGGGCCTGAGCTGGGGTGGGGGGCACAATGGCAGGGAGGGCAGGACTCACCGATGTAGCGCTCGCTCTCATCACTCTGGCCACCGATGGCCACGCGGCCGCAGCTCAGCAGGTCCCGGAGCCGCTGGAAATGTTTGTGGTTGATGATGCGGCCCAGATCCGGGGAGCTCTGGGGGTCTTCGCCATAGAAACGGGTGATGGCGCTCTGCAGGGCGGGCAGCAGCCGCGCCTGCATTTCGGGGCTGCACAGGACGTAGTCGGGGGCTACGCAGGTCTGGCCAGTGTTGAAATAGCGGAACCAGGCCACGCGGTTGGCCACGGTCTGGGGGTCGCAGTCATCGTCCACATAGCAGGGGTTCTTGCCCCCCAGCTCCAGCGTGACGGGCGTCAGGTGCTTGGTGGCGGCAGCCGTGATGATCTTGCCAACTCGAGGGCTCCCTGGGGACATGGGAGTTGACCCTCATCCTCAGTTGGCCTTGGCCAGATGGTTCAGGCACACCTCTCCTGGCCCATCCTGGCTTGCCCACTGGAATCTGCCCCTGGCCATGCTGCCCCAGGATCCTACCCTGCAAGGCCCATGGGCTAGGCCCCCCGCCTGGGTCGATTGCCATCTGAGATGCTCCCCATTGCCTCCTCCCTCCATGGCCTTCCCCATCCTATTCTCCAATATCCTCCCTCCTCCCGGGACACTGGCTGGGGCCACTCTCACCTGTGAAGAGGATATAGTCGAACTTGTGCTTCAGCAGCTGCCCCGTCTCCTCAGGCCCGCCCAGCACCACGGCAAAGCAGCTCTGCAAAGCGGAACAGACAGCTCAGGAGATACAGCAGGACCTCTCACTGGCAGAGGTGGGGGTGTAGGACGTGGGCACTGAAGGGGCAGATCCACCCTCACCTGGTCCAGGTATCGGGGCAGCACCTCAGCCAGGACCTTCTCCGTGCCCTTGCTGATTTCTGACGGCTTCAGCACCACGCAGTTCCCTGCGGGGACAGATGAGGGGATGTGGGAGAGGCCGTGCTCCCACACGCATCCAGGGGCTAGGCTGGGAGAACAGAGATGCAAGGAGGGCCCTGGAGGCTGGGGGACCACAAAACAGAATTCTGGGGCCTCCACTTTGGGAAGGGCTGTTGGGCTGGGAGCACATGGGGCTCACCTGCGGCAAGGGCGCCCACCAGGGGCACCAGGGTCAGGTTCACAGGGTAGTTCCAAGGGGCGACGATGAGCACCAGGCCGAAGGGCTCCTTCCGGATGAAGGCAGAGTCCAGCTGCGTGAACTGGGGTGCGGAACTGACAGTGAGGTCCCACTGAGGACCACCCAGGGCCCAGCCTGGACCCTGAGTCCTCCAGCTGCCTGGGCAGTAGAGTCCACGTGAGGAGACAGAGGTCCTGAGAAAGTCAGCGACTCACCCTGGGCCTGGGCTGAGCTGCCTGGCACGGCCCCTCCCCAGCACGCAGACTCACCAGGTTCTTGGCCACTGACTCATCCTTCATCCAGGCGTGCAGGTTCTTGAGGGCCAGGTCCACCTCGTTCTGGCAGATGATAATCTCCGATACGTCTCCCTCAAAGGCCGACTGCAAGGAGGCGGCATTCGGGAGTCAGGCCCGGCGGGGTGGGGAGGGGATCTGCTGCCTTAGATTCCCAAAGGTCCCCACCGTGGATATGGAATCCATCTCCAGGAGCAGCTCCCCCATGGGAGGCGGCAAGGAGTGTGGTTCTGGGGCCAGGCGGCCTAGGCTCCATTTCCAGTTCTGCCAGTTCTTGGTGATGGGACTTTGGGCAAGTGATTTAACCCCCATGTGCCTCGGTTTCCCCACTGGGGACAGCAATCAAAGCTGCTTCACAGGTTTGCTGAGTCGAGGTTGTAGAGTGCCCGTGGCACGCCGCAGGCCGGGAAGGGTCTGCTGGGCGAGCAGGACTGAACCGGGGACGCAGCCAGCTCCTGCTCCCCGCCCACCTTGTGCAGG